TTTTTACGCAATTTTCTCATATTTTTCTTATGTCCAATAAGTTTCTGAAGATGACATACACTTCGTAAAGCATTTATAATAACTAAACTTGTTGCTCAGCTAATCTCGTAAAATTATTCCAACTTTCACGTATTAGGAACAGTAATTGCTTAAAAAAAAATATGAACAGTAATTGCTTGGCCATGGAGGACCACAACTCCATTAACATCACCAAGGTTACGCTGCTTGTAATGTGGTCCTCCTATTTCCATCTCTATTTATTCAACTGTATTCTTATGTGTCAGTCTAACATTCCAAAACACATGGGCCATGTTAATTTGCTTCGCGATAGGATAAGACTTGATAACTTATTCTGAGCTGAGTTATTCATACGAGGGTATTTCAGTTATTTTACAATAACATTTTATTTAGGGGTATGTTATCCTATTTCCATTACAAAATAATCATGCATATAAAATGACCATGTGATCATTTATCCCAAGTCATTTATGAAGTGAAAAGACAACTCCTGCATAAAATAGTTTTATCTCACTTTTTATCTTTTTTTTGTGAATGAAATGATTAAATACATAGATAAGTTGCAACTCAAAATCTCACACATGCCATGATTTGATATATTTCTAATAGTTTGTTAGCATTTTTTTTTGTTCTTTTTTTTCCACAGATTTATTTTTAGCTCAACAAGGACTGCAACTCATTTGCTTCGAAGTACAGTATTAAACTGCAGGCTTAATTTCCATGCGAGAAAGAAAGAAAAAAGAACCTTTTGTTGGCTAAACGAAAAAGGGACCTGAATTGAATGGTTTATTTGGGTTTTAAATTTGAGAAGAAATTTATAGAGATAAGAGAAAAGGCAAAATTCAAATGCAACTTAAAGCTGTTTACGAATCCCTTAAATTTTAGGTGTGATTATGCACACAAATGGATATGATTCAGCATTGTCTGATACTATGATTTTTTTGTTTTAATGTTAAATTTGGAGACATTAATTACAATTGATCTGATTTTAGTTCTACAAGAAATTTAAAAACAACTTTCACACAAGTATATAATATCAACAAAATTAATTTAAACTAGTTTAATTACATGTAAAAAAAAATTGGGGACAATAATACATGTACTTCAATGAAAGTCTGATACATTGTGTAACAAATTTTAATTTTTAAAAAGCGCTACGGCTGTATTTAAATAAGAAATTTAGGTAGTAATTTTAAAAGAAAGAAAAAAGTAAGTGACATACACTGCAACAAATTTCCATCCACCTTTTCTATTTTTCTTTCTAAATTCATATTTTAAACACAAATCTACATGATATCCTCATTTCTTCTGATTCAAACATATTTTTTGCTTGAACAAGTTTAACCAAACAATCATCTAAATCCAAGGAACAACTAATATCTTTTTTTTTCCCGTCTTATGGATAATTTGATAATGGAAAATGTTTGGGAGCTCTTAAAAATGAGTTCTAATAGCTTTAATGTGTGTGTGGGCTTTATCTGATGTGATGTTTTGGTCCTGCGTTTTTTTTATTTTTTGATTTTCTACATCACTAAAGCTCAATTAAAGCTCTAGTTTTAGGGGATGAATCACTACTTTTGATAATGTTTTTTTTGGGGTTCTTGTGATGTAGATTCAATGGCCCAAATGAAAAAAGTAATCTCTTTAGTCAAAAGAAGCAATTACAGCCCATAAACATAAGAAAACGCCAACCCATTTGCGGTTATCATTGGGTTTTCAGTGGGCCTTCGCCCATTCAAGTTGTAAAATACGTTCCCGGTTCCAACGGAGTCTCGTTTTTGTTTTACAACAGACCCAAAAAAAATAAAAATGTCACGATTAAGAGAAAAAAACAATATGAAAACCGATAAAATAATATAAATCTATCACATAATTGGTGGAAAATCTGGTTCGAGGGTCTCAATTTCCTGGAAATTTACTTTGAAATCTGAGATAAAACTTTGAGGAATATTAAATTAGGGAAAATTGTTTTTGGCACCAAAACTTCTAAAAGCTTATTCAGAAGTAGTTAAGGAAAAATTCCCTCGGAAACATTCTAGAATTCCTCTTCTCAGTATTTTATTTTGAATATAAAACAGAACAATTTTTATGACAACAGTAAGTAATTGTTCTTTTAAATATGAGTAGTTTTGAATGCCCTGATAATTTCAAAATGATGATAGCACAAGTTATTATAGCATAAATTTATGCATGAACCACTTGTATTTTTATTATTTTGTGTATATACCACTTTTTTGAAATTCTCTCCCTTTTATTTATTCTTTCCCAACAATGCTAGGTAGCTCAAAATTTTGTGGCTCAAATGGCTCAAATCACTTAAAACGACGTCGTTTTGAGTGTAAATGAGTGTAAAACGATGTCGTTTTGACAGATTTGAGCCATTTGAGCCACAAAATTTTGAGCTACCAAACATTTTCCATTCTTTCCTTCGAGCTATGTTTGTATTTTAAATTTGTAAAGGGCAAAGAAAATAAAATTAGTTAAACATATTCAATATTTATGGGTAACCAAATAAGAAATATACTGTTTTCTTAATCCAACTAAATAAATTTACCCTCTTTCATTTTTTTTCCTTTTCTATAATTTCAATTTCCTTCCAAAAATCCAACATAGGATCCCTATTTTGAACTATGTTTCTCACTTCAGTAACATTACTATATGCTCTATTTCATTTTAGTATATTTTATACAACGAACATACTAAGAGAGCGAAGATTAAGTCCATGAAAAGTGGATTTTTTTTATTATAAATAAATGTTTATATTAGAATTAGTGATTTTTGTACTGGATATATAAGAGTGTAATTTGGACGGGTTCAACCCGAGCAATATATATAAATATATAAAAATATTAAATATATATATATATATAATTTATTAGCCATTGGATAATATGAAAGCAATTTAAATCATTATATCATATTTAATATATATTATATATATAAGTAACACAATAAAAAATCTTACTCTTTTTTTTTCTTTTTCTTTTTCTTTTTTTGACTCATAAATTGTAAATACTATCATGACGACATCTTTCTTCTATTGTATAAATTTTTTGTTTTGATATTATTAATGATTTTATAAAAAAGAAGAAAATAGTTTAATTTTAACAAATTAATTAACTTAATTGAACTAAAAAACAAAATAAAATTTATGCACAATTCGTGCAACTCGAATTTAACTTGGGTTAGATTTGGACTGGGTTTAGACAACTTTTCAATCTATCCGAATCCGCCCAAGTTGCACCCTTACCGATATATCGTGTACTATAGTCCTCAAATTGATCTGGATGTTTCATTTTTGAAAGTGAACGTTTATAGCAGATGTTCTGAATATCAAAGACAAAAATTCACTCTAAGAATCCTTTTTCAATGATTGGAATTTTAGACTGTAGTAAAGCAAGCGACAGCTGTTCGTATTTTGTAATGTTTATTTTTTGTGATACATTTCTACAATGAAAGTTGACAACCCTCAGTTTCTTTTATAAGAGTTCATGTTATATATTACTAACTTGAAGGGAAAAAAAAACCCTAATCACTCTCTGCCTACTAGATCAAAATGGAATTTTAATTTCATTGTAAAATCACATGTTGTACTGATACATCAACCCAATTAGTCATCCAAAATGGAACTTTGACATCATTGTTAAATCACATGTTGTACTAATACATCAACCCAATTAGTCGTCTTAAGACAGGTGAGGAAGCTGTGCCCTTCCACATGGAATACCGAAGTTTCGTTATCAACCACAAAAAATGGCAGATTTTTTTAGCAGAGATGAGAACAAGCTATATCAAAATGAGTAAATGTTATACATAATTTCATTTCTTATTTTATTTTTTGGTACATAATTTCATTTCTTATTTTATTTTTTGGTACATAATTTCATTTCTTATTTTATTTTTTGATCATTGCCAAACAGAAGGCGACTGGAGTGCCGAAAGTATGATTATAAATTACCTTAGGCGGTATTACCCCCAAACATGTACTATTCGCATGCTAGATTTGACATCTACCCAATTCAAATTAACATATACCTAAAGGTTTGTTCCCTCCATATGCTCAAACCTAACTTGGGCTCTTCTGGTTGCACAGCTCACATGGCAAATATCAAAGTATTTGATGATGAACATTTATATATTTATTTTTTTCATTCAGCCAGCAAAAATATCTAGGAGTTCCGGTATTGCATTAAAGCCATTTGTTAACATTTCTCTTTTCTTCAATCAGTAGCTGCTTATTATTATGGTTAAGAATGTGCACACAAGGATTTATGATTTGATGTTTTTTAGCATACTAAATTCTAGGGTTTAGAAACATGATAGGACTTGATTGAAACTCTATCTATCCATAATTTTCCTCAATTTGCTTGGTTTTACAAATCAATTCCATTGATGGACCAAAAGAAATGAAAGCAAGGCCTATAGGCAAGAGTGGATATTGATTCCATACTAATTAATAATCACCTTTTAATGACATAGTTAAAGGACAATTCCACCACAACCACCAACATGATTAAGTATGCATGGGCCCATAACTTGATAAAAATTACAAACATACAGATCTTTCCAGACAGATTAGGCTAACAGCCATGCATTTCTGACCTAAACCTAGAAACACACTGCAACAAGTATAAAGAAATAACTTACCCTATCTAGAAGTAAAAGATATGAAAAGATTCTTCCAGTTAAGTATAGCTATGAGACCTCAATAAGTGATTTTAAGTACATCTATAAATTATTCTTTTTTGGTCAATTTTTTCTAAAATGTATTTCCAAGAAAAAAAGTTTTAGGTTCCTTCATGAAGTCATAAATTATTGATTATTGACAAAATAACAGCATACGGAAGGTGATAGTTAAAAAGGCAGATATGCAAGAGGAGCAGGAGAAACGAAGATTAATCAAAGAATGTTTTAAGAGAAAAACCCTACGTTTGTAACCACCAAAATAAATGAAAAAAAAAAAAAAAAAGATAGAAAATACATTTAAGGAAAAGATATGTACAATTCAACTCACATCACATATTTGCTTTCTGTTTGGCTTCTGGCCACTAGCAAAAACTTAATTACAATCACAATTTGAGATCCATATTTTCCTGATCTCAAGACTCCTTTTTCAGAGGCAATTTTAACTACCTCCTACTGACCAAATAAAAAGAAAGAAAGACAACACGGACACCACTTCATTCTTATACATAATTAACATATATAAAGCTTTATTCATGTGCACCAACATGAAAATTACTTCAAAAATATCCAATATCAAATATAAAGAGGGAAACAAAAAAACCCAAATTAAATAGGAGTCTAGACATCACATGAACATCCTTTTCCACCCAAACAAACAGACTAACAAACACACACACACACACACACAAAGAGGGTTTCTTTTATCCTTATTATTACTTCCCATGTGAAGAAGGTGAAGAAGACTCACTCACTGCCTCAGACTCCACTTCCCTTCTGTGGAAGTTTCTGTGACAGCCACACGCGGCGCAAGTGAGTGCACCGGTTGTCCCTTCTTCCCCACTAGCCATGAATTCCCTGCACCCATCCACAGCGTACCCTCCAACGCTAGCCGCGTGGTTCTTCTGGCACTCTCCATATCTCACACTCCTAATGGTGAGAGATGAAGTGGTAGAGTTTCTTGAAGATGGTTCATCTCTTTTCAGAACCACTTGTCGCTTCCTCATTTCTTCGGTTGGTTCTTCTTCTCCTGCAAATGATTTAGAGTCGGTTTTGGAATTCTCCAATTGATCTACTAACCTAGAAGTTGGCATAGACAGAGATAGAAAGAGAGTGAGAAAGAGAAAGAGGAAGAGAGAAATAGGCCAAATCTCCAGCTCACATATTTGGCTTGTGGCAAGCCCTAACCCTAGAAGGCATATTTATAGCCGGTAAACCTTTCAGTACATTAGGTTAAAAACCATAACCACCCATTTACAGTGTCACTGTTCAATCATACCATTAGTTTTTTACTATAGTAAACCCTAAAATGATAATGGTGAATTGATCGCCCAACCAATAAATTACAAAAGTAATTCCCTGCCTATATCCAAAGCAAAACCCTAAAATAATGAGAGCTTTTCATTTAGCCCAATAAAAGCTCATTTGAGAATTGATTATTTTAGTTGATTTTTTAATTTTTTATGAAAAAAAATGTGTAAAAAAACTTGGTTTGGTTTTTTATTTATTTTAGTCAAAAAGTCACATGACAAACAATCATAATAATAACAAGAGAAAATTACAATGGTAGTACATGTATTTTGCGTCTTATTTCACTTTGGCCATTATAATTTCAGTTGATTTAATTTAAACGTTGAATTTATGATTTTATTTCAATTTAATCTAATTGATTACAATTGTGTCCAATTGATAACAATTGTTAGTGTTTTTAGAAGGAAAATGTGCATATTTTCGTCATGTGTTATGCTTTTTTTATAGGTAAGATTATAAACTTGTTCAATTTAGTATGTATACCAATTCAGTAATTATTTTTCTTAAAAAATCATAATCGGCGTTATCAATTAGACCAAAATAACTAAATCTAAAAATTAAAGATTAAAATCAAATTAATTAAAATAACTAAAATGACACACAACATAAAATGAAGAGACTATCTAATTTATCCTAATAAAATAATGATACTACTAATAGTGAATAGTGAATAGGTTAGAGTTCCAAACCAAATTGTGTGTGGCCCCTAAACTGAGGAGTAAAAGGCAAGTTGTGGGGTGCACTGAAACGATGCCAACAACATTTGTCTAGCTTTGACCTCAAAACGTGAGCTGGATTAAGTAAACTTTGCCTAACCATTGGTACGCACTTAACCTTGTTTTTTTCCCTTTCGCCCTTGTTTCTATGTAGCTAGGATCAATTAAGGCTTAATTCATTAGGTTATTGTTTTTAAATGTTAAGCCTGGTATAAAAACAATCAGTTAGACTACTAATAAATTGGCCAGGATATTTGACTTAGTTTAGTGGTTGTTGGGTTTGGTTTATTAGTGTTTTAGACTTTGTTGACTTTTTAATTATTGTCAATTAGTAATTTATTTGATAATGTTGTTTGAGTTTAAACTTTTGGGTCAAGTGGTTGGGCCCGTAAAATTCTTGGACCGTTTTAAGTAATATTAGAGCCAACTATAATCCAGCAAAAGGGCATCATGAGGTGTGGTGCAGGGGAGTAGAGGATCCGGAGAAGACTTGAGGCCCAGGGAAAAAGGTGTATATTGGGAAAAGAAGATTCGATAAAAAAAAAAGAAGTAAATATTCAAAAATATTAAGGCCAAGTTTGGGAAGACTAAAAAAGTGTACTTTTTGTCTTTTTGGACTAAAAAATTGAGGTTGAAAATATGGATGTTTGGGTTTTTGGGTCAAGTGGTTGGGCCCGTAAAATTCTTGGACCGTTTTAAGTAATATTAGAGCCAACTATAATCCAGCAAAAGGGCATCATGAGGTGTGGTGCAGGGGAGTAGAGGATCCGGAGAAGACTTGAGGCCCAGGGAAAAAGGTGTATATTGGGAAAAAAAGATTCGATAAAAAAGAAGTAAATATTCAAAAATATTAAAACTCATGTGTCAAGCACGAGAGGTTCACATGAAATGAAACACTCATCTCGCAAATAGTCTCAGTTACTCGACTGCTGCTGCCACCCATATCACCAAAAACCGAATGGACACACACATGATTTTAGGTCATGTTTGATTCACAAAATTAATAGTGAAATATTAATAATCCTATTAAATTAGTGTGATATTCACTATCCAATTGGATTAATATCTATTGGATTAATAATCCCACCCCTACCCCATTACTAATAATACTACAAATTTATTGGATTAATTATCCTAAAAAAGTAGTGTTCTGTTTTGAAGCTGCATAGAACAGCATTGGAGAGAGCCTACACAAACGTTGGTTCAATGTATTTTGTCATAGCTTGAAAGAAAGTTGGTCTAATTCAAGTTTTTTTAAAACGGTGGTGTTACCTGTACTAATTAGTATATTAATACTAGTTATGATATTATTATTGATCCTATTCATTAGACAAATTATAAATATCAAAAATTTCTTAAATTATGTCACATCATCAGTTAGTACACTAATTGGTGCATATAACATTATGTTCTATTAAAAGTTTTAAAAAGAAAGTGTAAATTATAACATTAATTTCTACAAATATATAAGGTGAAACATAGCATAAAATATATATATATATATATATTTTCTTATACTCATATTAAGCTATAAAATATCAAGTGTAAAATAATCTAGCCATATTAGTTGCAAAAAATCAAATTTTGGCGTTGTATTTTATTGCAATTTTTTATGAGTTTTTACTTTGAACCTCCCTTTTCAATGATAGAAATGTGTAGGTCGTGCAATTATTATTTTTTTCAAACTTTATAAGGGGTGAATGCATAATAATATAAAAAGAGTTTTTTTTTTTAAATTGTAAAGGGGTGATCATCACTCTTACCCAACTTTAGGTCCATCGTTGTTTGTAGCCACCATTACCACGACACCCAACTCCACTATTATAGATAAACCATCACCCACTTTAACTACAAACTAATCTTTCTTATTTAAATATACAAAATACTAAAAATCCAAAATAAATTACTCCCAAATATTCACATACGTGTAGCATTCGGGTAACTCTCATGTCAAGTGAAGCCCATATAAATATATTTAATATTCATTAAACATTCAACTATTACTCTAAAATATAGAAAATTTCTTTTTAAAGTCTCTGATATTAAGATTTTATAAGATAAATGACATATAATATTTTCATAATAGTTAAGGTCCTTCAATGTTTTTACAGAGTAAATTCGATTCAGAGAAATTTCGGTCTTAATACAGAGAATTTTCAATTTTCACAGAGAAATTTCAAAAATTCTCTGATATGATTACAAAGAAATTTTATAGAGGAATCTTAAGTAATAAAAAAAAATATGTTAAACCTCTCTTACTATACAAAATTAAGAAAAGAGATTTCACTAATTTTTTTCTCAAATATAACCATCATCATTGGCCCCATCCTTTAACAACATCCACCCCTTCGAATTCAAATTCCCACCACCACCATTGACTAATCTCAGCTCCTCGCCGCCACATATATCAAATGCCAAGAAACAGAGGCTCACGTGCTTGACTTGTGAACTCTAATGATTGATTTATTTTTATTTTTGGTTTCAGACTTTCTCTATTTTTCTACCAAAAATATCCTTAGCCTTGTTACTAATGTTGGACACATGAACAAACATTTTGTAATTTGGATACTATACTGACACAATTGAGAGATTGGGTATCTCTTCAAATAACATCATGAAATAAATCATTATTAATATTCAAAAGAAAAAAGCAAAATAATCTACCATTTAAAGTAATGCAATATTAACTAATGGGATTAATTTGATTGGCCAAAACTTCTAAAGGTCATACGTATTGAGAATTTCTCACTAATTTTTTTTTGGTATTAATTATATATTATATTTGATTTTTTTTATTATAATTATAGTTAAAAAAAATTATTGTAATATTTTATACGAATAAAAAAATTATAATTCAATAGCTTTTCGCTTACGTCAAAGTCAAATGTCTAGGAAGATATCTACTACGAACCTTGAATTTGATAAACATAGCATTTAAAATAGTGTTTTTTCCACGTAGTAATTGCGGGATAAATTAGGCTTGCCATTATCACCGACTCAAAAACTTTCTTTTCCTACATATACTGCTTCTATTGAGTAACAATTTTCACAGCAAAAAAAAGAAAGAAAAAAAAAAAAAAACAGGAAGAAGAAGATGGTATGGTGAAGCAAAATCAAGAAAGAATATTCAAGTTCAAGATGCATCAAAACTATTCGAGCAACACATTGATGCCATTTTCACTCGGATGAATTTTTTTTATCTAGCTATGAATAAGATGGATATCATCATCTTAAACACTAGTCACTAGTCAACAGATTTTCAATTGCTGTTGACAGATATACAAAAGTAATTTATTATAGTGGTAAAACCTAACTATAATTTGTTACAGCTTTTGGGCACACCACTAATTGCCTTTACATTGGGACTGCCTTGTGAATTGTGTAGAGCCATTTTCCATTATCCTTCCCTCCTAACTCCCAATAAACTCTAGTAAAATTATTATCACAAGCTGTCTAATGGTCGCAAATAATTGATGAATAAATTTTAGATCAATAGTATATATTGTAAAAGTGTTTATTGTTATAAATGTTGGATTTTGAATATTTTTCTTCATTTTGAGTTCTTAGTATTTGTTAGCTACATATTTTGTATAAAGCAATCTCAGCTTAACAAGTGGCACGTATAAAGTAATTTGGGGAGTTAATGTAAGATTCCAATCATCAATAGACACGTGACAGTTCATATTGATAATAATGAATTTGTGTAGCATTGGAGCAACTAGAAGACGCAAGATGACGTGACCCAACGGTTACTTACAAATTCAAATTCAAATTCAGGAGGGAAGCCTAACTGTAAGAATGGCGTAGTGGAAGCTAACTGTGAGAGAACGTGATCAAGGATCATGGGAAGGCCTTTTGACGATTGGAAGCTCATTTCGATGGTTACCATTAAAAAGTATAAATAGAAGAGAAGGTTCCAGAATGAAAGACTTAGACTCAGATTTAGAAACCAATTGTTTACTTCATATATTCTTTCCAGTTTTACATTTTCAGTTTTTCAATTCCTATATTGCTTTCTAGAAGTAGTTTCAAGTAGCCGCTGCTATAAACCTTTTTAAGGCTAGGGTCATTTCATTATAAGTACTTATTTACTTAATGAAATTCAGTTTCTAAACTATTTTGTATCTGTGATCATTTATAAATTTATCCTAAAAACC